ATTTAAGCCACATTATTAAGCTGTTTCTTGGGATCAGATGGTACCCATTCATAATCAATACCAAGAGTACATAACAAGCTTTGCATCCAGAATCTTCGGACTTCATTTAAATCTTGTGTCTTTCCCTAACAAGGTAAAATCAAGCAGTACAAAACAGGAAAATGCTTCATTTGAGCTTGTTATGTAGTTTTCTTTGAATAAATTATTAGAATTCATTACTAATATAAACCAGTATTTTGACCTCTGAATTGAATTTTCCTTCTGGCTTCTAGAGCTTGGCTTACTCTCATAAATCATTAACTTTCTCATTATCATCTCATTTCTCTTCCTCTTGACAAGTCCCAGTCTTTTTTCCAAGACTTTCACCATTAAAAAAAAAAAATGACACTGAATATCAATGAAAAGTTCCTGAATAAAATGTTATCAAACAGAATACAGAAACACTTTTAAAACAAACAAATAAATAACATGACCGAATGGGTTTATTCCAAGAAAGAAAAGAATCTTCAAAATTAGGAAATAAATTAACATAAAATACATTGTTTTGGGTTGAATGTATTCCTCAAAATTCATATATTGAAATCCTAACCTCCCAGTGTGACTATATTTGCATAAGAAACTAATTAAGGTTCGTAAGTATGGGGCCCTGATCCAAGAGTATTAGAGTTCTTATAAAAAGAAGTATTGAAATCCTAACCTCCCAGTGTGATTATATTTGCATAAGAAGCTAATTAAGGTTCGTAAGTATGGGGCCCTGATCCAAGAGTATTAGAGTTCTTATAAAAAGAAATACAACAGAACCCTCACACTCTCCCTGCCACCTCTACCCCCACCTGTGTGCTTGCACCAAAGAAAGGCTCTGTGAGGGCATAGAAGGCAGTGGGCTGTCTGCTGCCAGAAAGAGAGCCCTCACTAGAAATCAAACCTTGCCAAACTTTGATCTGGGACTTCCAGACTCCAGAACTGTGAAAAGTAAATTCCAATTGTTTCAGCCACCCAGCCTGTGGTTTTTTGTTATGGCAGCCAAAGCAGACTAATATATACATGATGTTAATAAATTGACATCATCTTAGTAGACACTAAAATGGCATTTGAAAAAAAATCAACAATTATTTTTGGCACAAAACATTTAATGTAATAAGAATCAGTGGAGGAACTTAGGAGAAAAATGTAGTCATTTCTGCTAAGGTCAATCATAAGAAAATAATGGCCAGTATTAGTATTTTATTTGAGATAACTGCTAGCAAATTAGATAAGAAAAAAAGGATTAGAAATACAACAAAAATATAGAAAGGGGAAAGCAACAGAATCGCTATTTTCAGATGACATAATTACATCTAGATGACATAATGACATACCTGGAAATCCAAAGAGAATTCAACTGAAAGGCTATTATAAATAATAAAGGAATTCAGGTCATTGGTGAGATATGAAATTAATATATAGAAATTAATAGTTTCCATATATGCAGAAAAACAGTTAGAAGATATAATAAAAAAAAGATGCCATTCTTAATTTCACAAATAAAAGTAAAAAAGATGCCAAAGAATAAACATGAGAATTGAAAATCTAAATGGGGAGAACACTAAAACAATCCTGAAACATACACACTTAGCCACCCACACAGAAAAAAAAGATTAGGAGAAATGGGAAGGCATAACAAAGTCTTAGCTGGGAAGACTCAACATCATAAAATATCTATTCTCTTAAAGTTTATTTAAAAGTTAATGCAATTGATTAAAAAGTAAAAATCAACTCATTTAAAAGTTCATATAGGAATATGAACAAGCAAACATTGTCAGAAAAACCCTGTTAATGCAGAACAGTAAGGGAGGATACTTCTAAATGATGTTCCACACTACAAAAATTTAAGAGACAGGAACCGGTTGTGTGAATATACAGGAAGACTAAATGCATAAAATAGAAAGCCCAAAAACATACTCATGTACATTTGGGAATTAAATATATTTTCTTCAATAATATGTCATCTCATATTAAATGTGGACTTTTTTATAAATGATGCCAAGACAATATGAAAGTCATACAGAGAAAGATAAAATTGGAAAAATCCAAAACCTATTTATGATTTTAAAAAAACCCAAAAAAGCCTTTCAGCAAACTAGAAATAGAGGAACACTTCCTCACCTTGATATAGAGCATCTACAAAAACCCTTCAGGTAGCATACTTAGTGGTGAAAGCCTGAAGCTTTTCCTCAAAGACTGAGAACAAGGCAAAGACATCCATTCTCACCACGGCTATTCAACACAGTACTAGAAGTTCTAGTAAACACAATAAGAAAATAAAAAATAAGAAGCATGCATATTGGAAAGGAAGGAAAAAAAACTATCCCTATTTGTAGATGACATTAATGTCTGTAGAAAATCACAGGGAACTTATGAAAACAAAGTGGAACAACAACAACAAAAATTCCAACAACTAGTAAGTGAGTACAGCAAGACAGCAAGACACATGATCAACACACTGAAGCAATCACGTTTCTGTAGACTAACAACAGACTAACACAGACCAGGTAGCTCGGTTGGTTGGGGTGTGGTGCTGACAACACCAAGATCCAGGGATTGATCATTGTACATGCAAAGAAAAAAAAGAAAAATTCCAACAACTAGTAAGTGAGTACAGCAAGACAGCAAGACACATGATCAACACACTGAAGCAATCACGTTTCTGTAGACTAACAACAGACTAACACAGACCAGGTAGCTCGGTTGGTTGGGGTGTGGTGCTGACAACACCAAGATCCAGGGATTGATCATTGTACATGCAAACTGTCAAAAACAAACAACAACAACAAAACCCCACAAAAATTAAAAACACGTCATTTCCAATTGCTCTGAAAAATGAAATATTTAGATATAAATATAACAAAATATGTACAGGATCTGTATGCTGAAAATTACAAAATGCTGATGAAAGAAATCAAAGATCTAAATAAATGGGGAGGCATATCGTGCTCAAGGTTTGGAAGACTCAACACTGTAAACATGTCAGCTCTCCCCATATTGATCTGTTAAGTTAAATGCAAATCCTATAAAAATTTTAGTTTACTATGGACTTAAAAAGTTTACTATGGACATAGACAAGCACATTCTAAAATTCATACGGAAAAGTGCAGGACCTAAAATACCTAAACCAATTTTGAAAAACAAGAAGAGGATGGTAGAAATCATTTTACCCAATATTGACTTACTATTTAGCTACAGTGATTAAGAAACTGTGCTATTGGTGGAAAGATAAACACATAGATAAATAAAACAGAATGGAAACCTGGAAATAGACCCACATGAATACGCCCAAATGTTTTTTAACAATCATGGAAAAGCAATTCGATGAATAAAGGATAGCTTTTCCACAAATGGTGCTGGAGTAATCATCCACAGGCAAAAAAAAAAATTAACATTAACCTAAAACTTCTCCTTATACAAAAATTAGCTCAAAATGAATCACGGACAGATATAAAATGTAAAACTATAAAACCTTTGGGAAAAAAA